AGCAGCTCCAAATTAGGAGAGCAGAGTTGAGTCTCAGATCAGCAGCGAGGTCCCATGCCTCAGCAGGCTGAAGTCCTTCAGTTCAAGAGGACCCTTTTTAATGAGCTCCCTCTGTGCCTTGCAACTCCCAAGTAGAGGAGAGAGGTCTTCCTGCATCGCAGGGTGTTTTGACTGCTCTTCCCATCATTACGTGCCTCGGATGGGTGCTGGGGGTCTCGCTCGGCAAAAACCTAGTGATGCTTCAGTCATGTGGAGCAGAAAATTGACCCAAGGGAATCAGGGTAATGATGGTTTCTCAGGACTGAGGTCAAAAAGTTGATTTCCACCTCAAGAATGGGTGGTGGTGAGTAGCCTCCCTTTGCCTTCATGATGTGTTGAGAGTTAACTTGGGCTTGGTGGTATTTTGTGTAAAGGTATTTGTGCACAGCTTTTGTTCAAGGGAGATGTTGGGAGAAGCCACACTGCATCATCTCCAAAGCGCTGGGTGGATACAGTGGGATGCCAGAAACCCATTTGCTCCTGAAAAGGCTAATTCTTCCTTAGACTTTGATTTCAAACAGGACTTCAGATCAATTCCTTAAATGGCTATTTGTGATTAGGGGTATTAAAATGTTTGTTGTTTTGGCCTGGCTGCTGATGTGAGGCTCTTTTCCATGGAGAGAACTGGGGCTGATGGCAGGCATGCTGTGCTCCGGCCTGGTGTTGGTTTGCTCCTAAGTTTTGTATGCTCTTGGTTTGCTTGCTCAGCATTTTCTGCGAAGTGAGGTGCTTCTGACTGTGATGGTTTCTGCACCCATGGTTGAAATATTTCCCCTGCAAAATGCATACGTGTGGCAGGGCCAGCAGATGTCACCTCCATTAGTGCCTCTTACCTGTACCAAATTGGAGTTCCTGCTGGGTGGGAGACAGCTTTTTTTCCCAACTTTTGCTTTGTGGCTGGCAGAGTTATAGAATCATAGAATGGTTTTGATTGGAAAAGACCTTTAAGATCATCGAGTCCAAACATTGAACCAGTCCTAAGTCCACCACTAGACCATGTCCCTAAGCACCACATCAAAGTTGTGTTGAGTTGGGCTGGGTGAGAGGGGCCCAATGAATTAAACCATGGTCCAACAGCAATCTTCTAATGCTTGTTTAGCAAATATTTTGTATCTCATTGTGCCCAAGTCCTGTTGACTTTCTACCAAAAGCTAAGCAGTTCCCTGGTACGTTTATTTTCCACCCTGTGTGACTAGGGTGTCCTTACCAGGCAGTACCAAATGGAAGAGGTCAGGAGCTTTCCTACCACGCACCAGTGCTGGTATGAGGGAGACGGCAAGAGCGTCATGGGGAGAGGAGGGCAGAACCAGGGACACACAACCCCTTTAGTCCCTCTCAAGCTGTAGTTTGTGATGGCACCCAAAGGATTTTGCTTCAGGAAAGGCTTTTTTCTTCCAAAATTAATCCTATCCTTCCCTCGGCTGCGCAGGTTTGGTTGAACACCCACCTTGAGCCAGGTTGTGCTGCTGTAGGTTGAGGGAAGCCCACTCAAGTCCAACCCAACCCTCATTGCACTAATGCAGATGCTGTGTTGAGTGGAAAGAGACAAGCACGTCCTGCACCCATTTTGGGACAATACCCTCTGATTTTTCTTGCAACTTGAAATGAGCAGCAGGACACGATTGACCTTTCATCCTCAAAGGGGCGAAACTCTATTTCGATTGATCTCCCGCTCCGTTTGGTTGAGGGTTTTAACAGAGTGAGTACAGATCAGGCAGTGAGCTACCAACCTTGGTCTCTGCGTGATCCATTACAGAGCAAGGTGTGGGTGTTTCTTGGTGAGCTGTAGCAGCAGGTAAATTGTC